ACTTTTCAGACGATATTGATTACATCTACGTCCCCCGAGATGTAGTAGCCGGGTTGGTGGTTCTTTCAAGAACGACGGAAATGAGCTACTTCGTGCATAATCTGGAAAATCTGGTCTACGAAAGGCGACCCGGAGATAAGAGAATTTCTTCGCGACCGTCATGATTATGGAAAAATTGACTTCATCAGAAGGGTGAGGTGAAATTATCGGCATTTTATCTACTATAAAATATTTCTTGAACTCAAAACATACTAACGACTTCAAACTGTACAGTGCTTCAGTGGTTTTTCAGTGCCTATTCGAACACTATGATGTAGAGGAACGCAAGCGCGAAAGTGTGTGGAAAAAAATGAAAGGCCGTCTGGATCAACGCGTACGCAATACCAGAAGGCCAGTGGGACACACAGTGGCAAGGGGGAACAGAAATGGATCGGAGGAGGACGAAGATGCGGCAGCCGCACTCGAAAGGTAGGAGGAATTCATCCTTGCTTTTTACTTAATTTTTCTTGATGGGTTTTCCGATTTCTGTTTAGAATAAGATTGGCAGATGAGGATCCGCAAATGGTGGCGATTACAGGCCGCGAGCGCAACAGGGGAAGATCGAAACCACGAAGGTTAGTTGTAATCCCCATTGAAGGCCCCTACTTACAGTCTCGAACCAACGTGATAGCACTTTGCAGATGACATTGACTACCTCTACGTCTCCCGAGTAGAAGTAGCTGAGTTGGTGCCTCGCGCAAGGAGACGGGCGATGAGCCAGTTTCGTACTCAATCTTGGAAATTCTGGTCTACGAAAACGACCCGGAGATAAGAGAATTTCTTCGCGACCGTCATGATTATGGAAAAATTGACTTCATCAGAAGGGTGAGGTGAAATCGGCGTCATTTTACCTTTCTGAACTCAATGCATACTGATGAGTTCAAACTGTACAGTGCTCATGTGGTTTTTCAGTGCCTTTCAAACACTATGAAGTAGAAGAACGTTTCCGCGAGCCACTGTGGAAAGATATGAAGGAAGTTCTTAATCAACGCGTATACCAGAAAAGATGGGAAGAAAAGAACTAGCTCAGCAGCTGTTCGAATTGAAGCTCTCATGGAACCTGTGGCCTTATGGAGGTATACATATGAATTAGGATGTCTCACTAGAATTGTAATACTTGAGTTGAAATCATATTTTTGGTGTTCTAAAATAAACCCTTTCACATAAAAGGTTCAAATCCACATGGGATCGACTCACAAGAGTTGACATAATGGGAAATAAATCTTCAGACGGGTTTAGATTTGTGTTAGGAATCGTTTCAGTGAGCACCATTCAATTTGAGAAAATTTCACCGCGAATGGGTTCTCTTTCATCTCAATTGCTAACACGCTGCTGAGCCTAGACCAGGGTCAAGCGAACCGTCGAGGAAAATTTGGAAATACGACCCCCCCCCTCCCTCCCCAGAGGCCGAAGTCCATGAAACGACCCTTCAAAAGCCGAACTATGAAAAGGTTGTTTAATTCTCCACCAAAACTGCTCATAAAAAAGCCCTGCTACCCCACCGTCCACCAAAAAATTCGTTTAAGAAGTACAAAAGTGAAAAAGTCAAAGAATGATCATTAATGATGAGTCCTACCAAACGAGCAAACGAGAAATGGAGCATGACAACATCTCTTCTTTATTTATTTCCTCCACAAGACTTACCAAATTCTAGTACTACACAGATTATGGTTCTCAATTTACACGTCCCCCTTTCGCTTGAAAGAAGCCTTGTAACCGCCTTCGCCAGCTGTGTGTTGACTGGACTTTGGCGTTGACCGTGGAGCAGCTTATTTACTATTGAAATTTGAACAAATATTCAAATGATTATAACTTTCTTCAAATATGACGAATTTTCAATCTGAAAGCAGATTTGGGAGTTTTCTAATCAGTACTGAAATTACAAAAATTATAAGAAATAACAAATTTAGATCAATTAACGAGGAAAATTCGATGATGAGCACGAGTTTTTACACTTTCCGAAGCAATAACTTGCTTCATTTTCGTCAAATCTGAAAAGTTAATATGGCATACAAAACTAGAAGATTTCTCTATCAAACGGTTACTAAAGCAGCTTAATACGTCCAGTATTTAAAAAATGGCCACGTTGAGGATTTTTGCCCGAGTACCGCCGAAAGGTACTTTTTCGCTGCATTGGCACTATTTCAACGACTATAGCTCCTTTCAGGGCGATTATATACTAAAGTAGGAGCAGATTCGGAATCCTCGTGCTTTTCTCTTTCAAAAGTGTAAAATTGTTTAGCGTTCTCAACTTACATGCTTATGAATTTGACGCTGAAGGCTGCGTTTCTTGTTGAATAGTGTACTCCTCCCTGTAATTTCACATGAACCCTTTCAGAATCCTCTTGATTTTTCCTGAATTGAGATTCTTTCTCCAGAGAGCCGTAGTTGAAGCGCGCGCAACCAACTGGGCCCACTCTGGGATGCGCCGTGTGCTTCACATCCCTTCAGATTCGAGGACTCACTTGAAAGATAAAATATCCTTGGAAAACGTGCGAATTTCGGATTCTTTAACTTGTGGTGATAAAACACTGAAGTAACTAATTGCTAAGCGGACACCTCTGAATCAAGATTTTGTGTGGGTGAATATCATTGTTATTGGAAATCCTCTGGCCTGGCATCGACTCGATCCTTGATGTTTGTCCTCCGACGATGATCCTACTGCATCAATCGGGCCCGATCTCTTCCTCCCAGCGGGCCAATACGACCCCCCCCCTGTGACATGTCGAGGATTCCTCAACGCACGCTTGACCCTGGCCTAGACCATTACTCCCGAGTTTCGGTTCCCTCTGGAACCAAGGGCCGACTGGTCTGACACACTCTCATCTAATATTACGATTCATCCACTTTTTCTCGACTGTTGGAATCTGATAGCTAGAATTAGGTTTCCTGTTGATAGAACACTTCACAGGGTCCACAACATCATTTCTAGGAAGACAGAAATCCCACTCGTCGCTGAGGACAAAGTTTTACCTCTCGCCTTCGGTCCATGTTAGCCGTTAGTGTGCGGAAGCCAGTTGGGCCATCCTGCTCTTGAAGCCCAACAATGGCTTCTTGTTGGGACATCATCCGTAATATTCACCAGGTCGCGGCCGATGTTGTGCTGCACTTGGACTTTCATATGACTGGAGAAAAACCAGAAAAAATGTTCTTCGCTGGTTGGGAATGTCTTTGGACGGGAACTGCCAACCACCTCCAACCAGGGTCAAGCGTGCGTTGAGGAATCCTCGACATGTCACAGGGGGGGGTCGTATTGGCCCGCTGGGGAGAGATCGGGCCCGATTGATACAGTAGGATCATCGTCGGAGGACAAACATTCAAGGATCGAATCGATACCAGGCCAGAGTATTTCCAATAACAATTGATTCCGCCCACACAAAATCTTCGTGATTTAGAGGTGTCCGCTTAGCAATTCTTAGTTACTTCAGTGTTTTATCACCACACAAGTTAAAGAATCCGAAATTCGCACGTTTTCCAAGGGATATTTTATCTTTCAAGTGAGTCCTCAAATCTGAAGGGATGTGAAGCACACGGCGCATCCCAGAGTGGGCCCAGTTGGTTGCGCGCGCTTCAAGCTACGGCTCTCTGGAGAAAGAATCTCAATTCAGGAAAAATCAAGAGGATTCTGAAAGGGTTCATGTGAAATTACAGGGAGGAGTACACCATTCAACAAGAAACGCAGCCTTCAGCGTCAAATAACA